CAAAAAGTGTAGTGTGTGTTGTAGGTATACGTTATGCATATTTGAAGCGCAACTCTACGTATTAACGAGAAAAATGGCGTTAAACCTCGACAATATACTTAGGTCGTATGTTGCTATATACTGTAATCCTCGATGATTTTTACCAATCGCAAAGCTCAAGTTAATGCTCTAAAAAGACAATTTCGACTACTCGCGTTAAATTTTTCATATTTGTACTAATTTTCGTCAAAATAAAGTCCCGACCTAGGACACCCCTTTGTTTATCTTGAAATGGACTCGTCCATTAGTTTGACGTTTAGTTTTTTTAAAATGGCGGAAAATTCTTATTTGAGAAAAATTAAGGAAAATACGCCTTTTCGTGGCGACAATCCGACTACCCAAAGCAAAGTCACCTCCAATACCGCATGAACCTGCATGAACCCCTAAAAAGCTAACTTGGCAAAGCTAATTCTACACACCATTTCCTTCCAGTACAGACAGACAGATTGTTTGAATTGCTACCATCCAAATTAATACATTTGTTGAATAGTAAACCCATTGTTTCCCAGTGGGTATACATAATATGTATTCCTTAGAAAACAAAGAGGGTTTATTTTATATATGGAAATCAAGCATGACGCCCTTCTAACATTCTTAGACATTTTTAGTGCCTTACAATTTCCCCCTTTTACCAATCATAATATATCAATTAAGTGTGACGCGACATATTTTTTGTATTGTCCAAAAATCCCAGTATAAAAAATGATTTCCAGCGGTGTCTAGATCATAGATAATTAAATTATCTATGGTCTAGATATACGCCAAGGATACTTGTCATTTGAACGGTGTCTCTATATACGCCAACGGTACTTCATGTTTGGATTTTGAAATCGGACAATCTATCCGATTCTACAAATGATGAATTTTCAGAGAATAATTTACGTACCTATAGGTAACGGGCGATCAAAAATGAGTTGCTGTCGAGTCGCCTTTGGAAGTTCAACTTAAATACGATTTTCCATGAAACAAAAATTTCAAAGGCGACTCGACAGCAACTCAGTTTTGATCGCATAGTATAACTAAATAATTATAGCTAAGTAGAATCGGATAGGTGTTACTTTACAATTAAAATGAGAAAATTGAATATATTTAAAAAATAAATAACTAAATGTGTGTTGACACGTTGAAAAGTTACGGGTGCGGTTTTGAATCCAAAGGTCATCCAGAGGGTTTCGTTTCAATTTGATGGGTACCATTAGCCAAGTGTAGGATAAAGAAGTAAATTTGAATTAATGCATTTTTGCTACCAATTTTTTATATAATAGAAATAGGCTATTTCGTCTGTACATTGTGAAAAAATTGTTTAGAGTCCCGAAGGCTTTTTCAACTTTAAATTAGGGTCATGATCAAAAAAGTTTGGGAACCTCTGGTCTAAGCTATCAACTATAAATAAACTAGGTAAATATAAATATGTGGATATCAAAAGGTTTATATTTCACGTAGAATCCAAAAATATAAAAAAAAAAGTTAAAAGGTCTACGCATTTATTGCGGTGGCGCTTTTTACTGCGTTCTCTAAACTAAACCGCACAAAAATTGACCAAAACAGAAAGAGCAAATATGTTAGTTACTGTGAATCAAGGCAAAGCATTTTGCAGTTTCCGCGACGAAATGAATGAAGAAATGAAACTTTGGATCAACCAATTTAACTAAAATGAGTGCATGACAGGAAGAGCACAAAAGTACAAAAACCTATGTATATCAAAGCAATGTGTCGTACAGTTTTCCCAATGAAATTGGTGCATAATTGAAGATTTTGGAGAAGGGAAGGGGGGGGGGGGGATTGTAGTTCACCACCAGAACACTTTAAAAATTTTTTATTTGAACAAACCGTTCCCGAGATATTCGCTCTTAAAGTTTTGACATCACCAATGGACATATTTCTTCCATCAGACGTCGCAATCGCCCTTTGTGAGTACCCTCTTCCGACAATCCGTTCTGGAGATATAAAGGAATATATCCGATCACGATAAGGAGTCGAGGAGAAAGACTATGGTTGGTAGAAATTAATTTCTTTCGTTCAGACCTTTCATTAGAGTACCATGAAGGATAGAACCAGTTCCACTCCCCCACCCCCATCTCACAATAGCACTTTTTTTTTAATTCCTAAAAAAATGCGCTAAAAATATAGAGCTCTGGCAGTTTGTAGGAGGAGAGAACAAGCGAGCACTGCATAGTAACTTTTGATCAACAATTGTACGATAAAGCGGTTAAATTGTTGACTGAGCCTCAGACAGTCAAAAACATATGTGTGCGTTTAGGCTCTTTGGCTAATGGGTAAGATATGGACAGCTTCATGTTATGTATATGTATATTGCATTTTTGTCTAACGTCATATATTTTATGGCGGGAGTGGTTTTGACGAAGTATGTTGTCAGGTTTACGCAAAAAACAATGGTATACATGATAGGAGTATAACAGCGCCCTAAGAGCTCATTTCATCACTCAACAAGACCTGATCACTCTTCTTCTCGAAAAGATACACATCGATAAAGGAAGCAAAGGACCAATTGAAACCGTTGTTCCTTAATTTTCTAACTGGATATTCTATACTAGAAAATGTCAAAGAGAACAAAATTCCTGATACCCTTCAAGAAAAACTAAACAGTGTGATTGAATAAATATCTATTCAGTTCTATGGTTCCATAGAACTCATCAGACTTTTCATTCGAACCAAAAGAACTGGAAACTGGGACTTGCGCATCCTTTGCATAAGGCTTACGCTGCCATATTTTCATCCTGCAGGATCTTACCCCTATGTCAAGTCAGGCATCTGATAATCTTGAAAACTTTATGCCGAAGAACGAATACGAAAAATATATAAAGCAGTATTTCACTATTCGTCATTCGGGGGGCTTTTTGACTGACTCCCCACAGACCGAGTCATCGAACAGGATCTGATTAGAAACTTCTAGGGAGAAATGACACATGGAAGAGGTTGTACTGTTCCTAGGAGTCTATCAAGCCGGCACTGAAAACGTTGACTTACTCTATAGCTATACTTGCCGTTGGCAACTCTGGAAAAAAACTACAAGCAGAGCCACCTACCTTTCAAATCGAAACGATGGACGTTTCGCGGCACTTTTGAATTTGGATGGCAGTCGGCTCGATATGGGTGGCACGAATGAACTCCTACGTTGTGTAATCGGTTCTTGTATGTGTTGGGACGTGAGACATAATCGGGAAGCGAATTAAATAAAAGACAAAACTTTTGTGCGCAAGAAATGACAAGAACACATAAATATATTACGCACACAACTAGACCGTGTCAGGGAAACCTTCTACGGGACAAAAACCCCGGCATAGGCCACACAAATGCATGAAATAAATCACCTACAGCAATAAAATGCAAGAGAAAATACACATAAATAAAACATCTCAAATTGTATGATAAAAATCAGATAATCAAATCAAAGGCAGTTAAATAAGTTCATAAAAACGAAATACACAAGACATCATAAATGCGGTGGAAAACATAATAAATCAATTCAGTACAAAAACACATCAAAATACCTGTACAATCAATTGAGATAACACAACTCGTAAAATAATAAATGGCATGTACCTAGGAAATGGGTAGTAGGTCCAATGTACAACTGTGACCTTCAAATCTACTGCCCTGCAGATAAATTTCAAAAATGCGGTCTAAAGAGATGAAAATTAATATTATAAATTTATACAAAGGTGTCACCGTCATTCACCCTGTAAATGATGCAGATGAACTAATTCTCAAATTAAATGTCAGGAATAATAATATTATGATTGTAGCTACGGAAACTTGTAATGCTCATTGGCGGAGCACCATAAATTAATAGTATTAAGTGTACTTCATCCAGCCACCAGCCGAACGGCTGGAAAAGTATATGCAATAACTGAGCTACAAACTACAATAGAGAAGTTATTCCCTTTGCTCATCCAGTTTCTATAATTTTATTAATGATAAACCTAACTTCAATACCGAACGAAAAATCTGTTGATGCAAGAGATTTCAGTACTGCGGTCAAACACAATTCTTACCAATTGCCAAAGAGCCATTATGTTCTACGGGACACCTACCCTCACAGGTCAGTCCGACCGAGGTGCCGAAAACTCGTCGATCGCACGGACGGACGGACAAAAGCCGGTAATGGGGCATTTTATTTTTTGAAAAATGCGATCTTGATGGTATATGATTTTTTCTAATTCGTGCTTTCTTCCTTAGCTGCTCACCGCACATTTCTTTTTTACATCTAAAAATTGTAATTATGGCTATAAATACTTAGGTAGATACAATTCACCTTGGCCTTATAACAATACCGATATGCGATAATAATCATTTTTCTGATAAATTATAAACAGAATTAGTCAAGGCCAGCGTCAGAGATTAGTTCCAGCAGCCCAATAATTTTTAATTAACACTAGGTAGGTAAATTAATTGCCATTAAATTGGCTTGTAACGAATTAAAAATTCAAGCCAAGTAAAGTTCAGCAAACCTGCCGCTATTTTTAAATGATGCATGGGAAAAAGTGAGTTGCCAACTTATTTTCAGGGCACTTTCCTCTCATTCATGTGTTTGCAGATTACGCCAGTTTTTCGGGTTTGCAAAATCCTTGACCTACTTTTAGGTTAATTCATTTAGATGAGAGGTGCGCTGAAAAGCATAATTAATGGCCCGATGTAAAGGCAAACAAATTTAAAATAGTGCGCTTTATATGGCAATTGCGCTGCATTCGTTTTTCCCTATAATCTATTGATTTCATTTATGCTGTAGTCCAAGAGGTGGCAGCACTTCCCTGTGCTAATTTGAACAGGACCGTAATTAGAATAATGTTTGCTGGATAAAAATAGGAACTGGGGTAACTCCCTCGAATTTGTGCGTAACGTGCACGAAATATCCATAGCCATACCAAACGCATGAATCATTTGCTGTGGTCGGTGGAAGGAAATGAGAGTCTCAAATAAAATTTATCCCGGTAAGGACCTGTGTTGTTGTGTTTTGGCAATAATCGACACTACAGCTGGTACTCATTCAATGCGCTGCGTTTGAATTCAAAGATACGTTTCTCTAAAATTGCGTAAAAAATATTAACAGT